TTATCATATAAATCTTACACTATTTGATAGATGAGTTCAACTGGCGAACACTGAGAGAAAATATATTATGACTCCTGAACTCAACCACCAGTCAATGCCAAACAAAACTTCCTTTAAGCATAAGCCTTTCATTGTCGAAGGCTCGTCATAGCTTCGTATTACATTTTTATGTATTTAGTGGGATTCATCTAGAAGCCTGTTATTTACATTTCAGGTAATTTATATTTATTAATGAGTGCCAAGCTCTGATTGGATGATTACCTTTTTTTGTTAAAGTTTGTTTAATCTCAGAAACTTGGAATATCAAGGTCACAGATAACTCTATGATTACTCTTATTTTCTTAGCCTAAACTGAATTCGGATGTTGAACTTTTCTCATATTTTCCTCTTTTTGTCTTTGGTCTGGAATTTAAATGCAAGATATTTGTTGAGAATTAGAGGGCGGCTAAAGTCACTGCCAAGCGCTGAGGTACTAAACTTGTCAACCTTATACCCCATACTCGTGATTGTACGAATAATAAGTCAAAATCATATAAGCCTTACAATTACTCTTCGCCCGTTCTACTTTCCGATAAAAAACTTGATCAAGGGGGAATCCCAGTCTTATGAACAATATTGAGGAGTAAAGCACTAAAAATCTTCCCGTTACCAATTTATGTATGTTAACTTAATGACAGTTCTGACTTTCGATTAATCTAATTTATAAACTTTAGTCTGTAAAGAGATGGTCCATTGCGAACATCACATAATGGAGATTCAAAAAATACACAAAATTAGTTATATAGTACTAGGAAAATTTTAGTAGTATATCTTAGCAGAAATTTTTAATAATTAATACAACTTAAAGTCGGCCAAGATAAGTATGTCATTTCAAATTATTATTCTTAATTCACATACAATACAATCGTAAGTAAGTAGTCAAATATTAAGCAGAATTTAACATATAAATCAGAAGATGAATAATGTTGTGTGAATTAGGTAAACTGAGGATGAATTTCTTAATGATAAAAGTGGTTCACAGGAGTAGTGAATTTCTTCAAAGAAGTGAATCATTTCATTCACTTACTTTATTAGGAAAATTTCCAATTCAATAAGCGATCGAAATCTGCTTTACACTTACTGAATTTCTGTCTTTCTTCCTTGACCTTTTTTTGGTATCATGTTATTCTAACTATCAATAGTGTTAGTAGTCTATGTTCTAAACAATCATTTCTGGAACTTGTCACGTATGGGATTTCCAGAATTTAATAGAACTGCTGATTACAAACAAGTGCATTTAATTCGAATTTTTCGCTTTTTTCATACTAGTAATTACGTTTCTTTACAATTTTTACTAACAAAACTTTGTTTATACCAAAAGCCTCTCTAATTCATATGTATAAATTAGAGGATAGTACAAGGCTTTGTCAAACAGATACTAACAACTCGTAAAGTAAGTAAACACTCACACTGTGTTGTAATCTACTTCTCATGCATGTTTTGAATGATACTCATTCATTTAAATTGATCCTTTAAGTAAATTATATATTGAATGGTACCTCACGATCAGACATTTTTAAAATTTCTTGGTTATTACCTATATTGGTGGTTTGTATAGGTTGTTGAATCTTGTAGTTTACATCATGAACTGACATTGGTTGAACTATAATCTTAATACCAGGAAACACTGGATGAAAATCTCGACCTATTATGAAACTCTTCAGTAGCGTTCACATACACTTTACTGGGGTTCGAACTCAGAATTTTTTGGGTTGAAATCAATATCGGCAAGGCTTGGAATCAAGTGTTGACAAAGTTAATTAATAAAGGTAGTGAACACAAGGACTTGTTTGACTCTAATGTCAAGATTTATCAACAACGCGTATTTACAATCTTAGAGAGATGGATGCTGTATCAGATACGTAAATGTTTATCAATCATGTCAGATATATTATGAATGAATGACTTGAAATTCAAATTATGTGTTTTCCAATCGAGACAACCAGTTATATGGATCTGAATATTTACGAAAGAACCTATCTTTGATGAGCTCGTTAATCAAAACCTGAACTGGTCAGGATTACTCAGTATTATGTTTAAGATGAACTAAATAGCAATCTTCCAGTCTATCTCCTCGTTTACTTATTACTGATTACAGTTAGAATATTAGATATAATTTGAACACGAATCACAATAGACTAAATGTTAGTTCTGCTTCTAGTATTGTGAGTATATAATCATAAGCTACTTGTTAGCTTTAGATACTTTATTATTAATCACCTTAAAATATGTAGTTTTCATGTTGCTTACTCCCGTTACAGGCGGAGTTTTATCGTAATATTTTGATATTTATAAGTGTTACATGTATTCTTGACGTTCAATCTGATTTGTCACTGTAATAGTTTCCTTTAAAGTCTCAAGACGTTTTTCTTCGTTTCTTACGTTGTTCATTGAAATTCTATTTATTCGTAACAACTAAATGTCATGTCCTCTAACCCGCTTTTCATTTTGTTGACTGCTATTACTTATTTAACATAGACTTGCCTTGCTACTTAACCAATCGTGAGTTTTTTTCAATTATTTTATATAATTGATGAAAGGCTTGCTTTCTTGATCGTATTTCGAAGAGTTGTGAACACCTTAGTTACCTGATAGTTTTGTGCTTATAAACCTTGATTTTTATATCATCTTTTATTAATAGTATCGGTTTTTGTGGATGAATATTTTGTTATGATTTTGGAGTTTCACGCTCCACCTAGAAGTTTGGTTGAAATCATTGAACTGATTTTATACCATCAATGCTAGCTGAACTATTGAAATGTCAATAAATTTTCGTTTGATTTCAGTTTTATCAATTTAGATTATAAACTGAATTATATATACTTACAGAAATGACATTACTTAAAGAACAAAGGAGGAAATGGTAACCATAATCAGCCTACAATACACTGATGATCAGCAATGTGTATCCAACTGCAACTTAAACTTTATAATTTAATTTTACTAAGCAGAGGTTTCATACGTAGACGTGTGTAAGTGAAGAGAATGTTTTTGATTAATTCATGTATCATAATTAGTTGGATAGGACGACAATTGGGGCGAGACTATAATTAATGGCTAAACTAATCCGATAAACTCTTAGATTTTCGAGTGAAATTCATTCATCCATATGAAAAAATAGAATTTTAGCATTATAGCTAATGTCATTTTATGATGAATATCTTGACTGTAATTTCAAAACCCTAACTTTTAACTCTAAATTCCAATCCCGATTCCCCACACATCATAGTAATTGGTTGGATTTTCTCTAGATCACCATAATATAGCTTAAAGACTGCTTTTAAATTATAATCTCTCCTTCATCACTTCTAGTTTGCCGTGTTGGTTCATGTTATTTGTACTAGGTGTTTTAATATTTTGGAAACAAACAAAACGTGGACGGTAACATACAGTCTACCTGTTTTGAGTTTAGTCTTGCCATTACTATAAAAGATAATTCGTCAACTTTCTTAGAAAATATATGTATGGGCAAACTGTTTCTTACATAAATGTGTAACGGTCGATATGACTGAATCCCACGAGTCATGACTTTTCACTAGAACTACGGAGATTAACTAACGAAATTAATCACTGGTGAGCAAATGGCTATTATTATTGCAATTGGTTTGCAGAGATTGTTGAGTTCAATGTGAACAATTGATGACTTTCATACTCAGACGAAACGGCTGTCCAATGCTTTCCAGTTGAATTTTATTGTCATATCAACTACTTATGCAAAAGGACTATAAATTAAAATCGTTCCAACTTTAGTTATAGAAATTAACAGTGAAATACAGTCCGTCAGTCAGTAACAACGTAGAACTTCGTACCTACGTATATCAGTTCGAGTCGCCATACCATATTAGCACACAGATACAATTGTCGATTCAAATCTTATAGTGATAGAGGTAGTAAGAGTATGAGCAGTAATCGGAAAGACTAGAGTTTGAAGATGTTATTCAAGGAGTATAATCCAATGAAATAAATTTGGAAGGACAAAAAAGGAAAGGGACATGAAGAATTCAAAAGATTAAAATTTGGGAGAACACAAAGAGTGGATACATCTGTGTCATTGCAAACGATTTCGAGCTATGTCATTGAGGGTCTCTAACCACCGCTTGCTATCGTCTCGCGGATCCCAAACAGGTAGTATACACCTACCAACATGTCTCAGTTCATTTTTCAGTGACTTCATGGATTTGTGCAATGTTTTGGTCTGGCAGCCCCTAGCTTTCTTCCAACCTACTCCTATACCATTGAACATCGCACGTTGGGGCAGTCAGAGGTTGGGCATACGTAACACATGTCCCAGCCATCTCAACTGATGAAGTTTCACTACTTCATCATTTGATTTGCCATCCTTACCTAGTACCCGTTTCCTAACAACTGCATTACTTACTCGGTGGTCCCAGAATATACGAGCAATGTTTCGAAGACACCTATGATCGTAAACTAGTAACCTACGAATATCCTCTACTCTAACCGGTCATATTTCACTGCCATAAGGTAGGACGGAACGAACTGCTGTGCAGTAAACTCGTCCTTTGGTTGATAGACGGATATCTCGCCTACGCCATAAATGACTCAAGTTGGTAGACGCTAGTCGAACCTTCTGTATCCGTGCTGAGATTTCGTCACACACCAGACCACAAGGGCTGATGAGACTCCCAAGACAAGTGAAGCGGTCGACACGCTCAACTACTTCACTTCCTATCATTAGTTCGGCTGTCGATGCAACCCAATCCTGAAGCAATCTTTTGCATTTCGAGGGAGAGAAACGCATCCCGAACATGCTTGCATTGTTTCTTATAATTGTCAGAAGACTCTGTATTTTCTCAGCGTCTTCACCAAATAGAATTATGTCATCGGCATATTCTAAGTCAACAAGTGGATCTCCCGGTAGAAGTTCAACTCCTGGAAATTTAGATGAGGAAAGTGTCATCTTTAAAAGGACGTCAACGATAAAATTAAACAAGAATGAAGAGAGTGCACAGCTTTGTTAACAGGGTAGTAAGATATTAAATAAATGACAACAATAGTAGTAAAGAAACAAGTAAATACACAGTATTAGAAGTTTATTTCGATTGTATAAAAAATTAATACAAATCAGATTCAGAATTAATCAAATTTTTATTATCAGTTGGTTCATAAATTAAAATATGTTCTGGATTAAAATGTTTTTGTGTATTTTGAAGAGAAGTATGATTGTGTAATACAAGAGTAGAATTGAAATCATCTTCATTATTTCGATTATTTATAGGCCGATCATTAATGGTTGATTTTTGCACTTGATTTGAAAAATCTTTATTGTATAACTCATGATTATGTACTGTATCTAAACCATTTACCATAAGATAATGTACAATATAGAATAATAAAGGGATTGGTTGTTCAATTAATTCATTTTTGGCATTATTATTACTATTATTATTATGGTTTTTAGGAACTAACGATTTAATATTTACAGTTGGTTTAATTTGTAATGTTTGACATAGAAATTGTCTAGGTAACTTATGTAAATTACCATGACCAGACTCCTGACGAAAAACTGATTCTGTAAATGATAAACTGAAACAAAAAAATAGAGAAATTAAGAAAATAATAAATACGTATTCAATGTTATAAGTATTGGTTTGTACGTAATAAACTAATGGTATTTAAACGGTGAAAAATGTTTTTTTATATTCAAAAGAAACGTAAATATTTGATATATTGACTTCATTTACTTGATGTTTTTTGTGTGTAAAGTGGTTTGTGATAGATGGTTGGATACCCTAGACTTAGGCTTTATGCTAGCTAGTTAATCATAAGAAAAACATTGTTTATTTTTGATTGGATTAACGCGTATATCATTCAGTTTGACAGTCAGAGAAATTACCACTGAATTATTCATACCCACAACTGACGTGCTGTAGGATTGTGATTTTTACATTGATGGATCATTGACTAGTGAGTAATGTGATAATGTTATAGTTTTTAGTACGAATTGATATCTATCAATTAAGGTGAATCAACTTTCTATGTGAAGATTAGTAATGTTACTCGACTGAAAATCAAATGATTTACAACCACTAAGCTACTCTATTCATTTCTACTCAAAAAGATATATAAATTTTTAGTGAATTGTCAGACAAAGGTGAATTCTAGGAGATAAATATGTGGGGACATTATGAACGTAGTATCACCAATAGATCATAAAACAACCACAACAACACACACGATATCTATTTATAAAATTCTGCACTGATGATTTGATGACCAATTGAATAAACAAAGTGGCAACTTGTTTACACAATCAACTGTCAAATCTCAACCAAACAGATTTCAGAACATATAACCACTGGCCAACTGACTAAATAAATATATTGGAAATCAAAATTATTATGTATCCATAAAACGTTCAACTAAGATCAAAATCTATTAGTTGTCGTATGTAATAGGATTGTGTTCACACGCCTCAGAGTTTGTACTGATGATATTTTATAGAAATATGCCTAAATATTTATGATGAGAGAGTTTAGGGAACACAAAACTAAAAATACATGTATAAGTAATATTTTTGACATTACTTTTCAAAGTTTAAATATTCAATTATTAGTTCATTAATTAGTAATTTGATATTTGAATGTATATCTGAAGCAGGAGATGTTTTCAATTCAGGTGACTGATTCTTTATTTTTTTGAAAATCTTCTTCAATATATCAGCTTTAATTTCACCTAAAAATCCATCATCATCTAAGGCTGTTCTCAAATAACTCTTTAAGTCATCATTAAAGGTCATTTCCATGTAAATGAAATCAAATTAAGTTAATCTAAAATAAACATTTATAAAAATATAATTTGGGCATATAGTAACAATAAAAATAACAAAATTTATTTCTAAACAACTTTTGATTACAGATTCAAACAGGTATCACTTGAAATTATCTTTTTTTGGAAAGAACTGTTTCTTCGGAAAATCTCAAAATTTTTCAATCAGACAAATAGGAAAATTGAAGTTGCTTGTGATTTAAAAACAACAATAATGATTGTTTGAAAAAATAGGGTTTGCATGTTACATATTAGATTCACAGGTTACAGGTAGAGTAGTTTGTGCAAGAAAATCGTCCATACAGTTTTTTGCTATATATATATATATATATATATATATATATATATATATATATATATATATATACTATATGTGGCGGAAACTTGGAAAACTACGAAAGCCATCATCCAGAAGATACAAGTGTTTATTAACAGCTGTCTACGCAAAATACTTCGGATCCGTTGGTCAGACACTATTAGCAACAATCTATTGTGAGAGAGAACAAACCAGATCCCATCGGAGGAAGAAATAAGGAAGAAACGCTGGAAGTAGATAGGACGCACATTGAGGAGAGCATCCAACTGCGTCACAAGGCAATCCCCACATGGAATGCTCAAGGCCAAAGGAAAAGAGGAAGGTCAAAGAACACATTACGTCGAGAAACGGAGGCAGACATGATAAGAATGAACAAAAATTGGACAGAACTGGAAAGGAAGGCCCAGGACAGAGTGGGTTGGAGAATGCTGGTTGATGGCCTATGCTCCATTAGGAGTAACAGGAATAGGTAATATATATATATATATTTCTAGTTACGTTGTACTTATTGCAAGAAAGGGATTGTGTTTCAAATAAGAAATATGAAGATTTATAGTTGATAGAACGAAATGCGATGTTATCTAACTGGTTAATCAAAAGTGAGGTAACTGAAGCAATACAAATTTTGTAACCATACATTTTTCGAATACATCTATTTAGTTTAGATTTTTTAATGGATATAGATTCTTTAAAGTGAGATTTATTTGAATTAGCCCATTTATTGATTGCTTAGAGATGTCAGGGTTGTATCCGCTATTGAGATGATGAATAGTAAGTGTTGGGTTGTGAAGATTGATAAATTTTATTGAAATATCGGACCGAAATAAGTTAGACCACCGTCAAAAACCTGGACGACATCGTGGGTAATATCTTGGATTGATTAGAGTTAGACATTAACACCGTTTAATGCCGACTCAGTGGTCTGGAAGTTAAGTGTTCCTACGAGAAAGTGGAGGTATTGGGTTCGAGTTCCGAGTACAAAGTTATGGGTGCGCACTGCTGGAAAGCTCTATGCCAGGACAAAAACGGCCATCCAGTGCTTCCAGGTTTTAGTTGGTGGTCTGAATTCGGCTGATTCAGGGTTTCAATGTGATAACTGAATGGCTGAATATTATGTTGCTCTTTCAGTCTCAATATCTGTGTAATGTGCTATGAAATGTGAAAAATAATCCTTTAACTCTTTTTTCTTACATGAAATGTACTCACTTTATTTTGCTTACTAAATCCTTTTTCATAATTAGTATTACATGACTTATGATATTGGTTCTCCATTACTATAAACTTGTCTCTATTTGATTCTCAATTTTCTGTGTCGAATCTACATACTATCAATTATATGAATAATTTCCATATATTTTTGATGCCTATGTTTGATTTCATAATCTATCAAAAAGCGGGTCGGTTGTGTTTCGTTCGATAAGTAATTTTAAATTTTATTGTAGCCATTTAGTAGATAGATCAGAAATGCTAGAATAAACAATTCATTAACAAACTTTTTTCGGATAACTGTTGTATAATAACTAACCAGATTGTTAGAATGACTTCTAGCACTTCTATGTATTCTCGGTGCTTAATTTAGAGGTAGTAAACATTCATGACCAGTTTTCAGATGTTAAGTTGCTCTGTTTTTGATAATATAAGTGGCTGAAATGTTAAGTCAGGGATTTTTGAGATTCATACATTAACTTTTGGGATGTCAGGCGTTTTGTATACGATTTGACGCTTTACAAGAATTCGAAAGTGAAATCCATATAAAATCTGCATAAAGATCTTGGAAGTGAAAGTTAGTAAACCCCAAATTATCAGATCAAAATTAATTATATAATTAAAACTATGTACCTAAAATTAACAGAGATTGATCTAGCCATTCATTTTCTTAGATTGTTGTGTCTCAAGAAGCGATCCAGGAAACTTAAAGCCTCCTCAAAGACCTGCCGAACGGGCAGAATTTAGACGGCAAAAGCAATCTCGTTTAACTCCATGTTGTTTGACAAATACTTAAAACATTTTAGGTAGTCAGTAGTGTAAACTTTGATTTGAACAAATAATAACTAACGTTTATTCAAATATCCGGATCATGTGAATCGACCTGAAGATTATCAACTTTAACAGTTGTCAAGGTTTTTGATAAGATAATAAATTTATTCTCTCTGACTACGTCATCAAAGCCGATACCACTACACGTTTCTTGTAAATATGGCCGTAAATGCTGGTATTAAATACCTCGTCCATCGTTTGGAATGGCACACCAGACAACTCCATGATGGATTCAATTTAGAGGCTCCCGCTGTGCTTAGTAGGCTGCTTAATCTTTTAAAGAACTTATAGACAGTAAACAAACATAATCTCCTTCATAAAGAGACGAAAGTTTGTGCTTATTTGAAATTTTCGTATCCTAGACCAAGTTTTTTTGAAGGTGTCCACCACTTGGTTAAGTAAGGCGTCCCAGTCTTCGACTACGCAGTGTGAGGTGTGTGGAGAGTCTTTTCCTAGTATTTCCTTTCTGATACACTCATACATTAACAAGAAAATCTCGAATATTAAATATACCACTGTCAATTATGTTGATTACAGTACGTACTGTAATCAACATAATCTGTACATATTTCGTGGGCGTAACTATTCACTCGTATATATTGTAAATTTTGTGTATAGGTGTTGATACTCCATTCTTATGCGCTTTAATTTCTTATAGATTATTTATTTTAAACAAAAAGCTTATTTGCACTACACTATACTGCCTCAGGTGCACAAATGTGGGGATTAATCACCATAGGTTCATTTACATGCACCTCCTGCTTTCTTGCCGTTCCCAATCTCCCTATTTTGATCAAAATATTCACTGCTTTAAGGACATTTTCAGTTTTCCCCAATATTTCCCCAGAAGTTTATAATATTTAAGGTTCGTACCTTAAAATTGGACGCAAACTCAAGTTACGCTTCTCTTGGATCAGCTTAACTACTCACTGAGTCACACTGTTAACCCGAACTATTTATAACACCTAAATATACTATTTGAGAGGATAGTATATTGAAATTTACAGAGAAAACAATAAAATTACATATTTTTATTTTGCCCTCTGTTTCGTTACTATGTCAAACTAGTAACTCAAACGTTATCTGAAACAATTAACAAACTTGTTGATTGAGACCTCCTTCTCAATGATAAAAGAATGCTCTTAATAATGGGAGGATATCATTTTCGTTACGTAGATGGGATATCTGAAGAATCTAAATATAAAACTAATTTTCATAGAGATAAGTTCCAGAAACTAAAGAACTGGGTAGGTCGTAAATAAACCATATTGAAAGTCTTTCAAGGATAGGATTCAGATATCATGCGTGATCCGCAGGCTATAATAGCTTCGTGTGGTTTACTGGTGAATGCATCAATGCAGTTTTAATAATAGTACATTTTTATTGTTTGTATGAATTACGAACTACTAAGAATGCCCTTTAATGTTTGGTTTCCTTGTGTTCTTTATTCGAATGAGAGCACTAAACACAATTCCTGACTGTAAAACGTAACAACTATCTGTTATTGAGGATTCTATACTGATGGTTTGTCGTTAGCAAGCTAAATATATAAATATCGGAGTTCTGGTGAGAAGTCGTAACCAGTGGAGCTAATCCGTGTCTGGTAGGAACAGGTGTCTATCTAAGTACATAGAAGATGGTTGCGTAATTTCGTGGATTGGTTGAGATTAGACATTGCCAATATTGGATGCCTGCTCCGTGGTCCAGTAGGTTAAGCGTACACGCGCGAGACTGAAGGCCGTCGATTCGGATCCCACAAGCTGGTTCATGAATGCGCAATGCTGAGGAGTCCCAATGCTTCCAGGATTTCAATGGTTGTCTAAAATCAATGGATTCATGGTCGCAATCAAAGTTTTGACAATTTCCACAACCCCTAAAATGATAAATATATTGTAGTGGTAAATAAATTTCCAAAATACATAGCTCTGTAAGTTTTCGACATTGGATGCTGACCATATTAGTTTTAACGGACTCACCTGGCTGAAGACGCTCTGTCGTGCATCTGCATCAGATCTTGAGTGGGAACGCCGTGCTCAACATCCCATGCAGTCTCTAGCCAGTCTAGATCAGTCTAACCTCCATATATTGATAGCTTATCAAATATTTGTTCGAACCTCCTCGCTTCTATCTTTTGATTTCACTTGGTGGGTACGATTCATATTAGAAGGTGTTACTAGTTGAACGACCCTCATGCGAAATCCCTTGTAGTGGTCAAGGCACTATCGTAACACCTAGTTTATAAGAATGAAAGAGGTGATTGACCAAAGAACTTTCGATGATGCATTAGTCGGACAGCTTTTCTTATCCAACCTTCCTAAACAGGTGCAAGCTGTGCTGGTCTCGTTACAAAACAACGCCGTAGACGAGCTGACTTCATCTGCCGATCGCAGTCTCGAAATTTGCCAGCTGACAAGCGTTAACGGCAATCGTAGCCAACGAACACAGCCGTCTGTTATACGTCACAGATGTGGTAACGAAAGTTCGCTACTTCGCCGATACTAGCGCAGGAGTTGGCGTTTCTTCAGCAAATTCTAACGATCGGCCACGTTAACCAGTGTTAAACTTACAGGCTCCATTATATCAATAACCACTCGATAAGTATTCTGGGATATACCAACCGCAACCGAAATTGTCGTGTGTAACCAGCAATGTTACACATCACATCACCTGTATTCTTGAAAGCGCGCCGACTGGCTCCCGAAGAGCTGAGGTTGGTCAAAAACGAATTCGATCAGATGATGGAGTTTGGAATATTTCGACCGTCGAAGAGCCGATGAACATCTCCGTTGCACATGGTCCCTAAAGAGAACGGCACATGCCTTTTGCCTTAAGAAATACTGCCCATACATTACAAAGATCTATAGATGACGTTTTTCGGGGTCTCAACTTCGTACATGCGTATGTTGATGACTGCTTGGTAGCAAATCAGGACAGAGAATCGCATCTCCAGCATCTGGATCTTGTTTTCGAACGGCTACAAAAGCATGGAATTACTGTAAACATTCAGAAATGTCAAATAGGAACCGACTTCTTATATTTTCTAGGACATACCATTAATGCTCAAGGCATCCGACCTCTAAGAAGCAAAGCGGTGGCCATTCTGGATTCATCACAACCAACCACTATTAAGCATTTACGCACGTTTAATGGCCTTGTAAGTTTCTATAGACTGTTCAAACCAAACCGCACGTCCCTTATGAAACCTCTAACCGACCAACTTCGTGGAAATCCGAAATCCATCAATCTGGACGATACTGCTCGAAAAGCATTTTCCACAGTCGAGAGTCTCGACAACTGGACTACATTTCGCAGTTTACTTCAGATATTTGACACATTTCTGGAGCAAACAATGTAGTTGCAGACGCCTTGTCTCGTATAAATTCCTTGAACAGTTTCCAAGGAATCGATTTTTTAAAACTCGCCCAACTTCAAAGAGAAGACAGTGATCTTCAGCACGAGTTGGCCTCAACAACACGCATTAAACAGATGGGAACAGGTAACGAAACCTTACTTTGTGACACATCTACAGGTAGGGATCGCCCAATCGTGCCGAAACAATATCGACACAACGTCTCCAATACGTTGCACAGACTTTCTCATCCGGGTGTTCGTGCAATCATCGAGCTTATAGCAGAACGGCTTTGCTGGCCTGGTACGAATAAAGACGTGAGGGAGTGGGCACGCTCCTGTTTAGGCTGCCAAAAATCTAAGGTTATCAGACACAAAAAATGTCCCTTAGGTTCATCTAAAACTCCTGAAGCTAGTTTCGACCATGTTCATCTGTATTTGGTAGGATCTTTATCAGATTCAAATGGATACTCTTACCTCTTAACCTGCGTAAACCTTTTCACTCGATGGCCAGAAGCAGTACCCATCAAAGATATTACTGCTGAAACAGTGGCCCGCGCCTTCGTCGAACGATGGGTAGCAAACTTCGGCTGCCCAACAACCATCACTATAGATCGTGGACGCCAGTTCAAATATGAACTTTCCCGTTGTCTGACCGCACTATTAGGAATCACTCGCTTCCGAGCAACCTCCTACCATCCACAAGCAAACACGTTGGTAAAACGATTTCACCGACAACTAAAAGCTTTACCACCAGCTGCAAACGTTTCACAGTGCACCGACGCTCTTCCACTTGTCTTACTAGGTATTCGCGACGCAGTGGAAGCTGACGTTCGATACACTGCAGCTTAACTCGTTCATGGTACGACACTTTGACTTCTAGGAGAATTCGTGAATCCTTCATCTTCTTCAATGAAAATGGATTTAAACTCCTACGCTAGCAGGCTTGCAATAGCAAGGCGTTCAGTTAAATCTGTTTCCACTCGACCACAATCAACTGATGTTTTCGTTCAACCTGACTTACGACATAGTAAACTCGTCTTCGTACGTCGAGACACGCATCGACGACCTTTCGAATCAGCATACGAAGGACCTTTCAAAGTTCTTCAACGCGAATCTAAGTACTATATAATCGATAAAAAACGGAACCAACGATAGCATCAGAATCAACCGCATCAAAGCAGCGTATCAAGAAGAAAACCCTATCCATGTCGATTTTCCTTCAGTGCAATCAAAAGAAGCGAATCCTACATTCATGATACCTCATCCGATAGCGGACACGCACGATGATACTTTGATAGTGTCAGAAAATAAACTCAAAACAATGCATTCTGGAGGAAGAAAAGGGTGCCCAGAACATTCAAACGATTATTGCACGTAAGACACTAGATAACATTTTGTTTCGTCTCGATTTTCCTTTGTATTATATATAATTAAAAAAACCAATTTAATATGCTCATATATTTAAATTTTTATTTTAAAAACAAAACAAAAAACCATATTATAAAAATTATTTTATTACAATATTATGTGAGCATCAGTTTATTTTCTATTTTTTCGCCCGCTTTGTGTCTTTACGAGCGTAGGAGTGCATTACGACATGCACTTACATATTTTTTTCTTTTCCAGGACGGCTGGAAAAGACGATAAAAAGAACCATGAAGTTTACGAGGAACCGAGATTTTCATTGCACCTTGTTTCTTTATCACTATATTGTACTACATGGTCCCTTATAGTAAGGAAAGACAACTAGACGCTGCTAAACATAGCTAGCTATCAGAAAATAGTTTACCAACGACAAACTCGTTAGGTTTAAACTTCTAGCTGACCGCGTCTTAAGGTCATCACTACCCCTTAGCGGCAGTGATGTATAGCGGTAAATAAATCCCCAAAATACATAGCTCTGTAAGTTTTCGACATTGGATGCTGACCACATTAGTTTTAACGGACCCACCTGGCTGAAGACGCTCTGTCGTGCATCTGCATCAGATCTTGAGTGGGAACGCCGTGCTCAACATCCCATGCAGTCTCTAGCCAGTCTAGATCAGTCTAACCTCCATATATTGATAGCTTATCAAATATTTGTTCGAACCTCCTCGCTTCTATCTTTTGATTTCACTTGGTGGGTACGATTCATATTAGAAGGTGTTACTGATTGAAGCGTTTGTAAACTAGAACTATTGTGGCACCTTCAAGCTATTCGAGTACAAACCTCCCCATTAAATTTGCATAGAAACTAACATCTGGTTAGGTTTTTGGGCAGTTATCTAAATTCCTACATTGAAAAACAACAGAACCATACAAAAATATATACACGTAAAATGCATTTAAATATATTGAAGATCAACGTGTAGTCTGTGGAAAAATCCCCCAAACACTCAACTTTGAGTCGGAAGTGACTAAACTGGTGCGAATTTTGAGTGAAGCTATCTGAAAGTTTTGTGTAAATTTTAGAAAGATAAAGCAAAAGAACTCATAATGTATAATGGTCTTTGTAGTTTGTTCAAAATTTTGGTGAGACTGTAATTTATGAACTACTTTTGACAGGCTTATGTGAAAGTAAACATTTTCACATGCTCAATAGAGTTAAAGGAGGGTTGTTAATTGGTGTGCTGAATCAGTATTAAGATTTAGAGTTAGACATTATGGCTAGAAATAAGAGTTAACTTTTTACCATGAACTTGTTGTGACATACTTTTGTCTACAGAACGCGATTG